GCAATTAACATTAACAGCACTTTAAATATTTTAGTGACAGTGAACTGCATTGTAATAGCACAACTTGAAATTAAACACGAACACCGATGCTATCTGTTTGAAGGCTTGGGACAGACTGATCGATTGTCGGCCAGACAAATTTTGCTAATTAGAAATAATTAAAGTAGGAGAAAAAAATTTGCAGGTTGAAAACAAAGTTACAGAAATAAGAGTAGTAATATAAGCGTATGATACATTGTTGAAAAGCTTAATATTTAAGAAAACTAAATATCTAATATGTGCTGTAACGAGTAAGGAGAAAAAGCTACTATTTAAACTTTCATGAGAATGTTCCATATTCACAGGACAGGCGACTACCATTATGAACAGTCTTTATATTATAGGAGATTCTAGAAAAAAAGTGCTGGATCGTTGTAACGGACTGGTGTGAGGTCTTAACTGCCATCGACAACCCATCTCCAAGCAATTATATAATTAAAGAAATAATAAATGTGAGGTGGGAAGGAAAAAATAAGGGTATGTCAGTAGTCTTCAGTTGTATACCAGCCCATTGCGGCATTTTGGGAAATGAAAAACCAAACCAAGCAGTCCATTTAGCTAAAAGTGGAAAACAAACAGCTGTGATTAGATAAAAAGGTGTTACCTTAGAAAATTGGAAACACCACACAAAGAAAACATTACTAGCAGAATAGAGAAAAAAAGATTGCAAATTGAAAGAACTGTAATTCAAGTGTGGTCAATGGCCCACCAGTTACAGAAGTTTGAAGAGAGAAGAAAACTGTGGCGTGCTGTACCGACTAGGATTCACTGGCAGTTTACCTGTGGCTTTTTATTTATTTATTTTTTTTTTTGCTTACCTCTCCCTTGCCTTTTAGGCTATACTGGAGTTTTCCTAGGCTGGGGGAGAGGGTGGGGGATTAATTAATATTTAACATTTAAAAGCCTCTCCGACATCAGGATGTGAACTTGTAATTATTTTATCAAATTAGTATCCGTTTATCTGTGGGCGGGGTGGCCGAATGGACTAACGCGTTGTGCAAAGCACCACCGTTGCCCAGCAACCTGATATATGACAAATGTGTTATAAAAATAGTCATGAGTTTGCATCCCAGTGCCAAGGCGTCTTTTAAATCCCCGCCCACACTCTCTGGTCCGGGAAAACCCTGTACAGCCTTAAAAGCGAGGAAGGGGAGGAAAAAAAAAAAAAATGCAAAAACATGCCTGCAACCATAAAAGAAAAATAGATCTAGCCAAAACATTAAGAGAAATCTTATAGGATAATGATGAGTAAATCACTACTTTGTTTAAATGTTTGAAGTTATTAAAGTATTAAAAAGAATATAAATTATGGTAAAATGCCAATGACCCTTGAGGATAGAGCTAAGAGAGAAAAAAAAAATTATTATACAGGAACGTAGAAGGTAATGGAGAATAAAGAAAAGCAAATGACTTTTAATTGTTGTAGTTAATAATATCTAATTTTACTTTATTGAATCTATACTCCTTACATCTAATATAACCCTGTATAAATCTTATTACATTTATGGGATGGACATAAGATTTCTGATAAGGAGCAATAGATAAACAAAGATTATCGAATAAATAACAGTTCAATAGTGTTTGAGGTTCTGAAGCTGAGACATAGGGCAAGTTCCTAAACACAGCACTGAATTTAAAGGCTCCATCAGAAATCTATCAATCTATTACTAAACTCATCAATAGAATTAAGTGCATTCCTTTATTCATCAATTGAATCACCAAAAGCTAAGCAGTTCAATCAGTTTTTTGGAGTTGATGCATCCGCTTTGTGAAAACTCATTATTATTTACCGATTTCAGTGTTGTTATTTCTCAATTTACTGTACTTATAAAATTCAGTTTACTTCCTATCTATCTTTATTTCTGTTTAAATTTCAATTATTCAATAGATAGGAATTCCTATATTTTTTTGTACCTCCTACTGGAGTACAAAAGATTGTTCCTGAATTAAGCATAAATTGTAGTCCATTGGTACTGGATTCACTTGATGGATGAATTCCATCAATTAAATTAGAGCTGAGTTTAGGAACTTGCCAATAGCTCCAAAATTTTGGCAAATTAATTATTAATTGGTTAACCATAATGGGGAAGAGTTCATTTACTAATACTTATTAAAATAACTTACCTTTCTTTCTGCATGTAACGATATTCAAAAATAAATAATTATTTTTATTAAAAAATAAGAAAATAATTATTTCTAAATTCTTTACAATAGATTTTTATAGATTACTGTCTACAAGTTTAAAAATCTGTAGAGATTGCATCCACAATGAAAGGGGTGAGGCACAGCTCAAAAAGTGCTTTTTTTAGATATCCACATTTAAAGTTGTACAATTTCTTAAATATGATAATATTGTATCTGCTTTGAAGTTTTTAGATTTTTCCTCTTTACTGAGATAACTCTAGTATTACACCATATGATCTTCCACAGTCATTTTAATTTAAAAAACAATTACATTTTTTTTTTTCTGGGTATTTGCCTTTCAGCATTTTCACTGAATACTCATTTTTCAAGTTGAGTCTTTTTTTACTTTATTTTACCACTCATGTTATGGTAAATACTCAAAAATTACTTCAAGGAATGAGAATAAGAGGAAAAAAGGAATAAAAAGAAAATTATGGAGTAAATAACTACAGAGAATAAGACACCTTCCTAGTAAAATAATAATATTGTAATTTATTGCATTTTTCTGATAAACAGATTTATTTTTATTTTTAAGAAATAAATAAAGAAACAGTAGTCAAAATAATCATATGTTATAGCAGAAGTTCGAAAAATATGCGATATTCACTTTTAAAAAATAAATAAATAAAAAACTAATAATCTTTCAGGCATCAGGCCTCAGATTGAGGCTACTAACCAATTCAGTCCAGGGGACACCAGAGTCACCTGGATAACTTTCTGCAGGCGGGTCCTAGTCCGGGGGGGTGGTAACATTACATGTCCTGTAGTTCTACAGGGGACACAGTGTTGGGTGCGGAGGGAGGTTAGCTTGGCCACCCTTTCTTCTGAGGGGATAAAAAAAAGTAGAGATTCTAATTTGGAAAAAATAAGTCAATAATTTGCGCATCGCAATTGCTCACATTTGGACTCTTTGCTTAAATTTGTGCAAACTTATTCAATTTGAAATTTAAACTTTGGGGCATCCACCCCCCTCCAGCCTAAACCTACCACATTCTGAGGTGGCAACATGGAGTTTCCTTATCAGTACGATATCCCGGACAAAAATTTAAAGAGAAATTGCGGTGTGGATTATAGCATACTCAATCGTACTCACCATCTTGACTATATGAAATATTATTAATACTTTATTTTAATTTAAAATTGGAAGTTAAAAAAATAAAACCTTTTAAACCAGGTCAAGTCCTGGGGGTGCAATCATGGCTGCCCCTTTTCCTCTCATCGAGCCAGATTTTACTTGGTAATATGGGAAGATATTCTGTATGTTGTAAAAAATACTGCTCTCCAGAAAATATGGAGGGGAGAATGGAATCTGGATGGCCAATCTAGGAAGGATGGAAGCCACTATGAAGATTGGGAATCTGCAGATGTCCTCTCTATTAATTAAACTCCAGCAACACTGACTAACATAGAAAGAACATTTAATAATTAAAATATTTTTTGAGTGACTAATGCCTTTGATTTTCAATGAAAATCTCAGCCAATCAGCCCACCTAAAGTTGTTCTAAAATTTTAATGATGAGAGATACCAATTCATTTTGCCAATTTTGTAAAAACAATTTTTTTAATTAAAAAAAAAAAACAACGGCAGAAATAACTTTATTAACACCTTCGTATAATGGTCTGGTGCTTACCACCCAGGATTGAAATTCAAGATTCTTTCGGATGTTCTTTATCTAAAAATTCAGATAAAGAAAAGGAAAAGAAAAAATTAAATATATGAAATAATTATTTTCTTGGCTCCTATGGCCCATTGGAATGAATGCCAAGGGGTTTTCAATATTTCTTAATGTAGAATCACCAAAATAAATTAAGTTTAAATCGGTGGCCCACTGACTTGTGACCCCTTCCCCCTCTTATTTTAAGTAGAATTGTTGCCTGTCGAATAATTTGCATGAAGTACATGTTTAAAATTTTGGTTTTGTTACTTTTCAACACATAATTTGTTTAATACTGAATTATTTCAGATATTGTTCTAACATTCATAATTGTGTCTATTTAATGTTTAGTGGTATCATCTTTCAATAAAATCTAATGTATGATTCCCTTATATAAATTGAATATAGAGGTATTTTTGTATGAATGCTATAAATCAATTCTAAGTAATCACGATTAATGCATTAGTAGTGTGTCTTACTTATGTACTCTATCACTTTCAACACAACAAATTTCTCATCAATTCAAGCAATAAGCAATATTCATACAATATTAGGCTCTGAAACCCTGTATCTATGTTCTTTGTTAACAGTGATATTGTGAAGCCTAACCAAATGCTCAGTTCAAAATTATTACATAATGTTTTCAATAAAATTCAAATGAAGAACATAAATTAGTTTAATAATTGGTAATTGGTTGACTGTCGTGGATAATGAAGAGAAGAATAGTTGGGATGCTCAGTCAAAAAGGAAGGCAAAAAATAAATTATAATATTTATTTTTTACATATGCCAAAAAAATAAAATATAATAAAAAATAAATATTATAATTTATTTTTTGCCTTCCTTTTTGACTGAGCACCCCAACTATTCTTCTCTTCTTCATAAATTAGTTTTAATTCAAATCCAATGAAAAATTATTATAAATAAAAAAAAATTCAATAAAATAATTATAGATAAAACTGAAAATTATGGGAACAAATTTTATTGACATTATAAGAGCTAAGAAGGTTAAAATGACATACAATATCATTAGAAAATTGATATTTTTCAAAACATATAGTTTATTGAGTAACATATAAATATGTTTTCATGAAAAAAAAATCCATTAGAGAATCACAAATACCTTTTCATTAGTAGTACTAGTTCTAAGATTGTGCATAGTACCACCAGTTACACTCTTGTATCCACAATCACCAGGGTACATAGCTCTTGTTAATTCCCGATTCACTTTTCTTTCACCAGTGTTTTCTACACCTTGCATTTCAGTAAAAACAACTCCTCCATCACGACCTTCTCCATTGACATGATAAACCTCAGTAGTAAATGCAGCATCCTGAACATTAAGTACTTATTTAACATTTAAAGAATTTTAATAATTTTATACATTAAACTAAATAAGGCTTATGCCGTCATAATTATTATAGTAATAAACTTCTCTATTGGATATTTAGAATCTCTAGGGTCTCCTTTTTATATTTAACACTTTAAAATTGAAAAAAAAATATTCAGTTATCCATCCAGGTATAATCTCCATTTAAAAAAAACAAAAAAAAAACACCTTTTGCACTTATGATGGGCACCTCGAAATTTAATTATTTTAGTAATGGACAGAGGTTTGGTAGCAATAATGGACATACCTCAGAAAAATTCTAAAATCTTTAACTATAAAGGTAACATAACATAAATGTACTTACTCTTAGGAAAACTGTTAGTAGGAAGGTATGAAACACACTGATCTCAAGAGCACTATAGAAATAACAATGATAGGCATTTTAAAATTTTCTTTTGGGAACTTTGTTCATACAGTTATCAATAGAGGGCATTGTACTTCAATCGAGAAAAACTGGAACCTTTCAATCAACATGGAAGTTTATTATTAACAACCTGTCCATCACTGGACCCCTGTCCATAACTGGTGCATTCACCCTACATGTTATTAAGAAATTCATGATTTATACAATTTTATATTTAACTTACAATTTTTGTATTACACTTAAACTGGAAAAATACCAATCTGGGTTTCAAAAAGGAAAATCAACTATTGACCCAATTTTCATTCTTCGCATCCTACGAGAAAAAATCAGATTCAAACGCATCATCTCTTTGTTGATTTTTAACAATCATATGATTCTGTTAACACAGATGAGACCTACGACCTATGAAACGATGGAGGACTTCATAAGGTTGAATGGAAAATTCTCGAGAGGATTTCCTAGTATTCAACCTCTTTCTAGAGAAAGTTATCAAAGACTGTGGTATCCAGACAGCTGGGACCTTAATAAATAAGACAATACAGGTTCTTGGATACGCAGATGAGCTAGACCTAACTGGAAGGACTCACGACGCAGTAAGAATAGCTTTTGAAGCACTACAAACATGAATGAAGAAAAGACGAAATATATGAGCACTCCACCTCAACGTGAAAATGATGAGAAATACGTAGCATAGATTAATAGAAATAAGCATAGAAATTCGAAAGGACACAATCATTCATCTATCTAGGGACCCAAGTGAACTCTCACAATAAAATGGAGGAAGAAATGCCAAGGCAAATAATACTAGCAAATCACACATATTTCGCCCTCCAAAAGCTGTTAAAAAGTAATGCATTATGTAGGGATGTAAAAACAAGAATTTTAAGACATTTATCTGACTGATCCTTACATATGGGTTGGAATGCTGGAAATTAACCAAATACCAGGGCAGGTCCTTATCAGATTCGAGAGAAAGGTGTTGAGAAGAATATAGGGCGGTGTCTGTGAACAAGGCACATGGAGGAGAAATAATGCTGAATTAAGGACCGTATATAGAGATATTAAAATTAACAAGACTTCATTAGACAGGCCATATTGCAAGGATAGAACCAAATGAGATTCCACATAAAATCTTTTCAGAGCGTGTATACAGAACAAGAAAAGTTGGACATCCTAAGCTTCGCTGGGAGAATGGAGTGGCTACAGACACACTGGAACTGGAAGGCAGTGGCAGGAAACAGAGAAGAATGGCGATCTATAATAGGGCAGGCTTTGACTCAATAAGTGGGTCATAACGCCATGTAATAATAATATATTAAACTTAAGTACAACCCTATTGGGTACTATCATGAATTTTCAATTTTTACATATCAATGAAGATTAGGTTCTAACAATGAAAATGCGAAAAATCCCAATTTTTGCTGATAAATATTTGTATAAATAATTAACATCAATGAAAAGTGGTGGGGACAAGCTACGTAATGAGAGTGGAGACAGGGCTACATAATGGTCTGTCAGCTACTAGCTCATACCATTAGCTATCTTATACTCATTAGCTTACTTTAGTATTTCCAGCTTCAAAAATTCTATCCAAGAAATATCTCTTTTGATTCTGCGGGAAATTAGAAAAGATTTTATGCTCAGAATCGAAAATTTCCAATCCCCCTTTACGTTTCAGACATCAAGAATCGAATTTGAAAATAAAGCTGGTAAGTAACAATCTCACATACACTGGTCACCAATCAATCCTGTAGTCAAATCAATGTGATGGGCATATCACCTACTACTGTTTATCCGATTTTCATGAAATTTTCAGGGGTGGTGTGGGTTAGGCCCTAGATGGTCCCAAATAAATTTCATCAAATTCATCTAATGATTTTGAATAACTCCGTGCAAATGTATTTTATTTAATATACCCATTTTTCAGAAATGGCTTGTTCAATGTGGCCCAAACTTTGAAGAAATGTAGGTACCGGTAAAAAAAAATAACACTGTATTATTTTTATTGAATTCCATTCATAACTTTCTCTTTAATTTGCACTAACGTATTTTCCTTGATAAGCTTATTTCTTAATAACTCCTCGTTTGAATTGGCTCAAATGTGGGAGAAAGTTAGGGATTGATAAACAACTGATCAAGTAAGTTCCAATTTCAACAAATTCGATACACTACAATCCACAATGAAAATCTCGTTACTTCATTTTAGTGAACTTAATAACTAATAGTGTAACAGGTTAAATTTGCAAGTGTAGGTTAATAGGTTAAATACAAAAATACACATTCAAATCTCTCTAGGCATATATATGTAGTTCAGAAACTAGATTTATGTGGTTTAAAAAACAAGATGGATTTATGAAGTTTTTATTTTATCGTGAATTATAATTATATACCGTCTATTATGTAAAATTAGAATTTTATACTGTCGATATAATAAATAGGGTTTGTGTTATTTTAATGACATTAATGAGTAGTTACAAATTAACTTTAAGGATTAAGGTGTAGCTCCATTAAAAATGCACTTCAAAAACATTGTAATAGTGCAACATAGCCAGAAAATAATTTCTATTCTGCAATGTATAAAGAACAGCTGATTGGTAAATTTAAATCTATGTCATTAATTAGAATCATATTTCAAGAACTAAAAATAACTATAGATAGTGAAGGGCATAAAGATGGTATAATAACTGCCAACTGATCCAGTTCAGGTATGCGTCGTAACCTGAGAGAGGTACTGAAGGGGTGCAAAAACAACTTCTGTAAACATGCAAGAGACCTCTCTTTACAAACTTGATTATTTTAACAATTTTCATCACCCAATACAACTGGGGAGGAAGCAATACTGACTTACATGGCATACGTTTTTTTTTTTTTTTCTCATCCAGTCTCCAGTATTTAGGATAAAATGCATTTTATTAGCTTTTAGAAATGGATGATTATAAAGTAGAACCAAGAGACATTTATTAAGAGTAGCTTATTTAGCAGCCATATACTTTTTGATTATTTAAATAGTGCAATCTCAATGATATAATCTTATTTAAGTTCTTTATCTCTTCAATCCTATAGCAACTCAAATTTATGCAATTTTTTTTCCATGTAAAAACAACTTTGCTTTATGAAACATGATTACTTAACTACTTGTTAGCTGTATTATCCCATGTCAATTCAATTTAATCATGATAGAAAATACAAATATTTCAGTATTACATATTTTGATGGTTGACCATATGACAATACAAGGAGACAATCTGGGTCACTGATAAGGATTAATATGGAATATGGTGGATGGTCATAAATATTTCAAGTTGGATGAAATAAATTGGATGAAACAAAATAAATTGGATGAAAATAGTATGAAGCATACTGAACATTTTAACCAAAATTAGTATTCGTTATCCTAGTTTATATGTATCTATAAAAAAAAATTTAACTATAGAGAATAGATCGAAAATATGTGAGTAAAATTGATCTGATTCAACTGTAGGTGGGTCAACATTTTATAAAGATAAAAAGACCATGTAAAAACCTGTAAAATTACATCCATCCCACATCTATAGTTAAATTAAGAACAATTGTACCATTCAAAACTCGTTACCTGTATTTTGGTGCATTTACAGAAAGTTTACATCACATTAATCCCAAAACAAGTTAATGATATAAAAAATATTTTCTGTATTTAAACAGAACTTCTTCTGCCCCTTCTTGTTGCAGCACCTCTTCTTCTTCCCAATGAGAAGTGAGCTGGACCATTAATTGTTTTTCACCCATACAAGAAATCCTTGAAGAATGAGGTTTTCTGCCCTCATCATTCTCTGTCAAGACATACAGACATGTTTCCTTCAGCCATTTGGCCCGAAGTGCCTTGTAGGTAGTACAGCCTGCGATAATGTGCTTGGCAGTCTCTGGTACTCCGCAACTGGGACATAACCAATCAATATTCTTCCCAAGTTGAAAGAATTTCGCTCAGAAGCCACTGTGTCTAGTGAATAGTTGGGAAACCTAGTAATCAGGTTCTACCCATGTCTATTCAAGAAGTTTTAGAAATATGTTAATAATTGGATAAAAAGAGGTCTATACCACAGACTATAATAATGAAGCTGCCACCTCAACTCAAAATAAGTAACCTAATAACTGCCTTTGAGCCACAAACTGCAATTCAGCCACTAAAATCCTGTTGAGAAATCATGGCAGTAAATATGCATGAACAACTGAAGACACTGACTATTGTAAGATATACATCTCTCCTTTGCTGTGTTTAAAAACACAGGCCAACAAAGAGAGGTGCAAAATATAATTGGAAAGTATAGTCTGCAATGCGAGAACTAGGTATTCCCATCAATTTCATTTTCGGCACTTTGTGAATCAGCCAACAGTTTTCCTGGAGCTATGTTTTTGCCATAGCAATTAGGAAGAACACAGGAGCAAGTGTTTATTGCAAACATTTTCAGTTTGCGGCTCCAGTTGACCAAGCTGATGGAAGCCCTTGAAAATCACAGCAATCAGACTGGCATTGGAGGTATTAAATAAGCTAAACCATCAAAAAGTGGTTCTTTTGATACACTATCAACTGGCCATGACTATCGAACATCAAATTAGAATTGAAAATTTTCCAGACTGGCTCCTTTGCAAAAACGGAGAGATGACTGAAGAACACCATTACACATGCCCGGGACTCAGAGACAAAAAAATAAACTTTAAGATAAGGTAAATATATATGCTAAAATGGCTAAATTATATTGGGCTGCAGGAGAATCTGACAGCTAGTTGAGGGAGTAAAATCAACTAGCTTTACCCACCAGATGTAGCTGGGGCTCAGTCCGGTTAAATGGAAAAGGAAGGAAATAAAAAACACATTATTTTAATATTTTAGAGATGGATATATAGATGACTGTTGAAAATTATAAAGATAAAATTTTAACAGAATGACATCCTGACCTTTTTTCATCCATTTTCTTTTAGTATGTTTAGTTCCATAATATTATACCTTGATGATATAAAATAAAATCATTTGTTCAAAATCTTATATCTCAGAAAGTTCTTCTCCCCAAGTTGCAATTGAATTAAGACCCCAAAAGTTTCAGATAAACAATAAGTTATAAAAACTTTAGTTCACTACTTTGTTAACACTAAATAATGGAAATCTAATAAAATAAATGGTATTACTTTACAATGTTCCTCACCTTTGAGGGGTGGGCACAAGACATTATGATCACACTATAAATGAAACTTTTGTAATGGCCAAGTAGACTGAATTCTATCATGAATAATGGAACCACCCAATAAGGTCTCTTATCTTAAAAGAAAAGAACCTGCTATGGAATTACTTACTCCTTTTAAGAGGTTGAAAGCAGTGGTCATTAAAACTGATTAATGATACATCTTTAACTGAAAAAGACCAGTTAGGAGTTGTGGAAGTCATAAATCGCAATATAAATAAACGGAACTTGTATCAGAGAATACATCAATTCTTGGCCACTATCCGAATTCTTTTTACAGGGTGATGAGATCTTGTGGAAATAATTTACCAATGATTACCTATTTAAATAGATAAAAAAAGCAGAATAGGAGAATAAATAACTTTTCTTACATTAAGAGTAGGAAATAATATATGATCTAAGTAGATAGGCATTAATGCAATAAATCCTTCAGCCCCAGCAGTAGTTATGGTATAACATGTGTGATCAGTATCTAAAGAACAATAAAGACAATGCATTTAAAATACAGGATCATGCAGATATAAGACTTATACAGCATATGAATGTTTTCAACAAACCTGTCCAAGCATTTGTACCAGAGGCAAAACATCGATTTGCTAATAAATCAAGAACACCTTTGTAAGGGTACAATTCACTACCCAGAAAAATTAAATGTTCTAAAGTATGTGGGAGCCCATCATCATCATGTGCTTCAGTAGCTAAAATAAAGAAAAAATAAAAAAACAAATATTAAGAAAACATAACTCTTATTTCAGTAAACATGTAGACATGTTAGCTTGACTTTTAATATCTTAATTAAATTAATCTATGATGCTAACTATTCCATTTTACCTAAACAAAAGTATCCATCAACTACAGGCCCTTCCACTTCTGCAACAACCACAGTTATTCCTGTTTTGACGGAAACATATTTGTGCACCGGAAACAAATTATTGACACTAAGGGTACACTTTAATTCAAACATGTCAGTCCCAGAATCAGAAGAAGTATTATCTGTTGGAGCCATTATGAGAACTAAAAATACAATACAGATTCCTGAAAATGTGATAATCTTTTCCAGGTAGTCTAAAACAATTATTCCTGTTTTCAACCGTATCTAGATAAAAAAAATAAATAAAACGAACCAAACAATACAGAAGGTTACTTTTGAACAAATGGCGCTGGGGAGAGTGTAAAATAATTTAACTAAAAGGTTTTATAGATATACTTCTTTTAAAACTTCAGGAAAGTAGGAGCTATAAATGACGTCATTGAAATGAAATATACATTCTTGAGTAAATAATTGTAGTGCTGTGTGGAAATATATGGTGTAAATATGTATGGCTCCTGTGGATATTTCAAAACATTATTTTTTTTTTGTTATAAGTAAATTAATAGTTAAATTACCTACTCCAAAAACTTTGAAGCAAAAATGCCCAACCTGTCCTCCTATAAGTATATAAAAACATACCCTATTAAACAAATACAATTTTTTTGTTTTTAACTTTATTTATTCACCCACACCTGTCATAAGCAATGACAATTAGCGGGTCTGCTGTCGGTAAGTGTACAGGTAGTGGCTTGATCGGCGTGAAGGAGAGGAGTACCCAGCGGCATCCTTTCCTGTCTTGATTATAGCATATTTTTTAGGTGAGGAAATCCCTCATCCAGCTCCTTTTGAGCCTCCTAAGTGTGTTTTCGGGCATGTTAAATGTAGCCATACTTTGTATAAGTGTGTTATTCCATGTAAGTTATTGTGAAATCGCTTGTAGTGTGTCCGTATGTGATCGTTAACTGTTGACATTTGAAGGTCTTTATGTAGTGTAATGTTTGTGACGTACCATGGAGCTTTGGTTATGGTTCTGAAAATTTTAGACTGAAAAGTTTGTAGTTTTCGTATGTGGGTCGTTTTGGCTGTTCCGTAAATTTGTGAAGCATCGGTCCATATGGGCTTAAGTAGATAATTGTGAGTGTTCAGTTTTTGTTTTAGGTTTAATTTTGAGCGTCTTGAGAGAAGTGAGTATAACAGTCGTAGTCTGAGGTTTAAAGTTGTTCTTTTTTTGTTGATATGTGGACTCCATGTCATTCTTCTGTCGAATGTCAGTCCAAGATATTGTATTTTATTTGTTTGAGGAATTTCGGCATTGTCAAGGTAAATAGGAGGGCATGTTCCATGTCGAAGAGTAAAAGTGATGTGTTGTGATTTGTCTTGGTTGAGTCGAATTTTCCAGAGTTTGCACCAGTCGTTTGTTAGCTGATGTTGTAAAGTCTATGTGGCGTGTGTTGGATTTTTATGTCTTGTTAGAATAGCTGTGTCGTCTGCGTAAGTCGCTATAAGTCGCTTCTAATAGTTCTGGCACTGTTAGGAGGCGCTGTGTCGTGTGTGTATATAATGTATAAAAGCGGAGCGAGTACTGACCCCTGAGGAACTCCTGCTAAGGCTGGTCTTATTGAAGAAAGTTCTGAGTCTTGGCAGACAGAGTAAAATCTGTCAGAAAGAAAGGATTGAAGTATAAGATAATAGGTAGGAGGGAGTATCGTCTTAAGTTTGAAGAGAAGACCCTTATGCCAGACTCTAACGAATGCTTGAGCGACATCTAGAAATACTCCAGTTGCATACAATTTTTGCTCCAGTGCAGTTGCAATGTAGTCAGTCACCCTGTGTAATTGATGGATGGTTGAATACTGTCGTCGGAATCAAATTGATGGTCGGGTATTATTTTTCCGTCCGTCAGTATGTTCATAAGTCTTTTGTATAGTAGTTTTTCAAAGATTTTGGAACATATTGGTAGTAGACTAATTGGCCTGTATGATGAAGGGGTGTATTTGTCTTTGTTTGGTTTGTGGATCATTGTAATGTATGAGTATTTCCATTGTACAGGAAATTTGGTCGTTCTGAGTATTGCATTGTAAATAGATGTTAACTAAACTAGAGCTTTTCTAGGCATTTTCTGGAGCACTTGAGCAGTTATCAGGTCATGACCAGGGGCTTTCTTTTTAGGTAATTTTCTAATTTGTTCTGCAAAAAGTTTCGAAGTGAAACAAGGTGGAGGTAATTCCATTTGTAGTGGAATGTCTAAAGTGTTTAGTACTTTTATTTCGTGTTCAATGTTGTTGAAGTCAATATGTGGAGTAAAAACAGAAGAAAGATGGATATCTAATAGCTCCGATTTTTCTATATCTGACACGGCCCAGGAACCATCCTCGTTTCGGAGAGGTGCAGACACTTCACGATGATTTACAAGTTTTTTTGTATGCCTCCATAAGCTCCCATCATCAGTAGACAGATTTCTGATGTATTTGTCGTATTTGTAGTTTTATAACTTTGAATATGTCGTTTTAGTTCATTGTTAAGTCTATTGAATGTCCGTTTGTCAGATGGCAGTCGACCAGTTTGCCATACTTTGCGAGCTCTTCTCTTTGCCCTGATCAAATCTTTTATGTACTGAGGATATGTTGGAAGCCACTCATTTCTGTTGGACCTTGGGACAGAAGAAGACAATATAGCTTGTTGAATGCTGTTTGTGAATTTATCCACAGCTTCTTCAACTTCATATTCGTTCCTTCGAGACATTGGAATAGAGAGCATTTCGTTTAGCTTATCTTGATATCCATCCCAATCGATAATTCCTCCTACGAGAGATGGTCGTTTCATTGTAGTATATGGCTCATCACACAGTACTAAGCTGAGAAGAGAATGATCAGAACAAAGATCGCAGCTTGCATTTATAGTGTATGGTACAGTCCTTAGTCCTTTAGTGACGAAAAAATCAAGTAGGTCTGGTGTTTTCTGTCTTGAAGTTTGCCAGTAAGTAGGTGTATCAGGTGAAATCGTGTCTAATGAAAGCTAATGGATGGCAGACTTTAGGTTTCTTCCTCTAGGAGTACAAAGTCGTGATCCCCAGGACTGGTGTTTGGCATTGTAATCGCCACCAGCAATAAAACACCTCCCCAGAGGACTGAAAAATTGCAAAACATCGCAGGTGTGAACACGTACCTCGGAGGACAGTACACTGCAGCAAAGGTAATGGTTTGGTTTTGGGTATATAGTGTAATGGCTGTAGATTGTATATCAGGTGTAATGGGTAAATGTAGTGAGTGGTGCTTTAGTGATGTTTTAATCAGTATCGCTGTGCCGCCGTGAGCTGTATTGTCTGGGTGATCAGTTCTGTATATTCTGTAACCGGGAATGTAAAATTTAGTACCTGGAGTTAAGTGTGTTTCAGTGATAAGGGCAATGTCAGTCCGTTTTTCGTGCAAGTACATGTCAAGTTCAGTCTTATGTTGATTAAACCCGTTTGCGTTCCAAAGAAGAACGGACATGGAGCCGACAGTCAGCTGATTAGTTGCCATAATCAGTGAATAAGGCCTGGGTGACATGTGAAAGTTCTTGGAGGAGAAAAGGGGCTGGATGGGATTATTTAACCCACTTACTAAGTTGAGTAGCTGAGCCGATGCTGGATGAATGTCAGCCAGAGGTTTTCCCTTTCTCATGCCTGAAAATCCCTCCTGACCTGGTACTGCTTCAGGTACTGTTCGTGGAGATTGTCTCTTCGGATGCTGCGAATTTGATGTGAAGGAAGTTGAGTGAGACTGCTGAAGTTCAGGTAGAGGCGGAAACTCATGGATTGCTGGAGGTACGCTAATTTGTGTTTTGTCAGAGTTTTTCGATGTTTTCCTGAGATTTCTGGTTTCTCTTAATTCTTTTAACGTTTTACAACCCCTGTAATTTGCTGGGTGTGACCCTCCGCAATTGGCACACTTCGCGGCTGTTTCTCTTGGTTTGGTGCAAGTAGTACTGTCATGGCCTAGGCCACATCTCACGCATTTCGGAACGTGATTGCAGTACGTTTTAGTATGTCCGTACTGCTGGCATCTGATACATTATGGGATTATTCTCTTCTTTCTGGGTTCTTTAATTCTCACTTTCGTATAGTATAGAAATTCTACATCGAAAATTTTTTCATTGAAGGTTGCCTTTGATATATCTATGGAGAACAAGGGCAATGGCTTCTTAAAACGTGATATTACGTTCACAACGTTAGTGGCTTCATAACCAAGACATCTTAGCTCATATTTAATTGTCTCTACTGGTGTTGCATGGTGAAGATTTTGTAATACTACTCTGGGGCTTCGATCTTCTGGTAGTTGGTATGTATGAAAATCAGCACCACCCTGCCTTAAACTAGCCACTAATGTACGATATATATCTGCATTTTCGGGGTTTACACTGACGCCTTTTGTTGTTGTCTTTAGCTTAAAACTATTGACACCCCCTACATTTTGGAGGTATGAAACCAATTCTGAGTAATTTTGAACATCGTTTAAGTGTATGGGAGGAGTTACTATACGAGCAGGTTGTGTTATTTTAGGTTCTGATTCTTGTCCGACGTTGCTTAAAACTTCGAAACTGTTTTGAGTGATAGTAACCTCACTAACCTTTTTAAGTTGTTATCTCGGGTCCCTTTCATTAGTTGTGATTGATCTTTTCCTTCCGGCGACCATCTCCCATGCGTTTTCTCTCACCTCGTTTGGTCCTAAAGTGTCCATTATAACTGGTATGCTGTCAGAGGACAACGGCGTAGCCATTTTTGGCAGCGGAACCGCTTCACACAACAGCGAAGGTTCTATCTCTTTAAACTACTCTGGCTCTCCTCTTTATCCGTGAACTTAAAAATGTTTAACTGTTTATAATGTCACTGTTAATCAAATATTAACACAAAGTTTTTACTAATAAACACATAGCAAAGTAATAATCACAGAGCGAACTGAAAACTAAACTGCAGTAGCGGCCATGATACTTCTCCAAAATTTGTTAAAATTAGTTTTTGAACATTCAACCATATCGTTGTAATATAATATCAACTCTCTTCCATCTAGTTGTCTGACTTACAGTGATGGAAAAAAGTATTTGCACATCATGTTTGTATGAATAAATGAGTTCAAGGAACCAAAAAAATTCGCTTTCCTCTACAAAAATGAAAAGTACATCTGTTAAAAACTGAGAATTATTATTTGCACACTATGACTCACAAGCTCTGTTTACTTCGGCATTAATCCTCCTGTGTCCATAGGTCATAGGTTTGTTTACTAATTTATCTCTAATCGTTTATTACCAGTATTCTCTAGTCTTTCAATCAGTTTCCTTTAGTCAATAGACAATTATCATGCCAAAGACAAGTGAGCTGTGTGCAGCACCTCGCGAAAAAATTGTTTTACTGAGG